TGAGTCACTGCCTCTGAATACCAGTTGTTGCAGATGATGAGTGGAAGAGTGCTGTGGTTGGTGGGTTTCTTGCTGAGTATCCAGTGAACAAAGAATGCTGGACTAGTAAGGCCTTTTGTCAGATCCAGGAAAGTGTGTCTTATGATCTTAACTTTTGATTCTGATGAGTCCAACGGTGCACAGAAAGTGCACAAACAAGTATGTGTTTCACTTGGTTCTCCGCAGATTTTGCATTCACAAATCTGCTCCTAGAAACGCTATCTGCAGAAAGACTTGGCTGCCAACTCCTTTCTTGGGAGCTCAGCAGTATGGGAGGGAAATGGAAAGAAGAATCTTGAATGAAAGTAACAACTGAGCTGGAATGGGTCTGGTAGGTCATCTCATCTAACCACCTGCTTAACACAGGAATCATATTGTGCTAGAGCATGCCTAACAGGAAAGAAGGCTATGCCAAGAACCTGCAGGAAATTGATACCTCTCATTCTATCTTCCATGCTTGTTATAGCCTACTTTCCCCTTAGACAGCCAAGAACCGCTTACTTGGGGCTTCAGTGGTCTCCCATCCAGGCAGAGATTCACGATTGTTTGACTTCACCATTGCTATATTAGATGCTTCTGGGCTTGACCCAGCCTACTGAAATGTTAAGTGTTCTGCACTGTTCCAATAGCATAGAGCATATGAAGTGGGTGGTGGGTAAACTTTGGCCCTCTATATGTTGCTGGACTACATGTCCCATCAACCCCAGCCAGCATGGCCAACAATCAGGGATGATGGGAGCTATAGTCCAACATCTAGGGGGCCAAAGGTTCCCCAACCCTGAAAACAATAACATATTTTGATGAGTTTCTGTGTTTTAAGTGCCATATCCATATCTGAAGATCCTGCTTTTAGCTTCAAGACAGGACTGTTTTCCTAGGAAAGACTGATTTACGAGAAAAGTCAACTCATGGGAGGCTGAACTAGTCAAATGTGGATGGAAATTGCAACACTGCAGAGTGTTCTCTCTCACTTCCTGTGCTTCCCCTCCCTCCACTTGTTTTGGCTTTGCCCCACTTTCCTGCTCTCCACTAAAACAGGTCTGAACAAGCACTTGCAGAAAACCTGAAGTGAACTAATTCCATGCAGATGGATTTATGAACTTCAGTTAAGAGCCACAGGTGACCCAAAGGCTGCCAATTCCTCCTCTCCAGCTTTATGATCTCCAGGGCACCATTTGTCCTTAATGGTCCAATCATCCCTTTTCTTCTGTTGTGGGTGCAGCCAGTGGTTCTGAATGGTGGTCAGCTGCACCGCAGGCCGCATTGGCCTCCATTCCTCCCCTCCCTCCTCTGATGCCCTCTCAAGTCTCCGCTTCCAGAGGCTTGCACAGCTGTTTGTTGCAGTGGCCCTGGCTACAAGTTCTCCAGGCGAATCATGCCTCTGGGGCCGGCCAGGGGGTGCTGGTTGTTGGGAGCTGAGGTGGCCTTGGAGGAGAGGGGAGAGGAGAGGAGGCTGATGAAACCCTCCACAAGGGAGGGTGTCAAAAAGGGGGGTGAGGGGCTGACAGCTTGGCAGGCAAGGGGCAACATAACTGAGCTTCTGAGACTCGGAACAAGCTTCCCTACAGGGGAGCTGCAGAAATAATGTTGTTGGTCAAGGGAACCGTCAACTCGAAAAGGTTGAAAACTTCTGGAAGCTTTAGGCAGGGACTCCAGGTCTTGAGCTTACATTAATGTCTAACTGAGTAGCAGAGCATTATTTAATTATTATAATTATATTATTATGATTACTTTAAAAAATGCACCAGAGACACTGTATCACTAAGAAAGCCAGTAACTTTACTGATTCGGCTGCAAAATACAAATTATACCTTATTTCCAGCAGGAGAAACATTTGAAATTTTCCCATTTTATTTATTTATTGTTCACTACAGACAGCTGAATTAAGTCCCTTGAGATTCACAGATGTGATTTTTAACTTGGTTATAATGTCTTGTTATCTAGTGGCGACAAAGTCCAGCTTATGCCGCTGTGAGCCTCTTAAGTTTAATATTTCTTGCAAAATGCTTGTATGCCCCCATTTACAGGATGATTTCTTAATTATCGCTGATTTAATCAAAACAAATCCCCAGGAAAAGAAAATAGAAGCAAATAATCTGAAGCAATCCAAGTCAAATGCTTTGTGGTGCAATGTGAGCTGATGTCAGTGGCTCCACAGAGAGCATCGATGCTGGGGGTTTCATCTGTCATGGGGTTGACCTCTTTGAATGACACTGAGGCATGGGTCAGTCTGAGGGATGAACAGGGATGGGATGGTGAAGCCAAATGACCTGGTTATGCTCATAATCCAGCACGGAACATGATACAGGATGTATGGAACTCATCACTTGGATTGCTCCACATCTTTGGTTAAAGTATATTCACAAAAGCCTGTTATTAGCTAACAGTGAAGCATTCTCAACCGACCCCAATGTCCCACCACTCCTTCACGGGACCTGTAATGCCAGGAAATGGAGGCCACAGAAGTGAGGACGTCACTGCAGATGGCATAAAACGGGAGCAGATGAAGTATGCTGTGTTTAGGCAACAGCCTTTATTGAGGTTTCAAGTGGCTTTTTGGGAAACAAAGACAAAGCATTTGCCTTCTGGGGGAAGGAGAAGAGAAAGGAAACAAAAACCACATATGTTGTGTCTACTAGGGAAGATGGGCCTAAGACAAATGCAAACAATAAAAAGGGGTTCTTGACATTCTTGCAAACAGCGTAGCAGTTGTTTTATTCTTGCTTTTAGCTTTGCCTGAAAAAAGCTCTGAGAAACAGCAGATATCTTTATATTAATCATTAAAAAATTTTAAATTCCGCTTCCGGGGAAAATAGAAACCATTTGGTTACAAAAAACAACTTTGAAAAAACATTGAAATGATTAAAAAGACTTCACTGGGAAAGGCATCAATGCATACAATATACAAATTTGTGCAGATTGTGTATATCATATCATTGTCACCAGCGATTAGGTTTAATAACGTCATCGACAAGGCTTTCCCAAATAAGGATCAGCAAGAAAGGGAGGAGATTCCTCTTAAGGGATCTCACGTTGCCTATACCTTTGTACTGCCTGGGTTGAAGTAAATCTTAATCCATTCTTGGGGCGCTGCCCCAAACTGCTTAAATATAAAGGAATCACACAATAAGCCCAAAAAGTAGCTTTGCAAATGCAATAGATGGTTAAGGTACAGATAAAAGGAACAGTTAAAGATAGACAGTTAAAGTTTCTAGAAAGCGACATCACAATTAAAAGTTGTGCTTCTTTATTAATTAACTCCATTTACAATTATGAATTAACCCTCACTTCTTGCCCCTATACTTCACTTTAGCTCAGTAGAGGAAAGAGGAGCGAAAACACGTCTATTTCCACACAATTCAGTTCTGTGGCTGTATAAAAACCAAGGTTTTAACTGCAAGAGATTGCCTAGCTTAGTTGCATGAGCTTGTTTACACTGTTACCTACTTGCACACAGGTACAATGCGGTAAGTTAACATTACACACCCACTTCTCTTCAGAAGCTCAAGTATTATCTCCCCCCCCCTTGTTGTGTAGCTGAGGCAGCTGTACGGTAAACTATTCATATGGCTATTCTTCAAACTCAGAAGACTGACCCCATCAGCCCCATCGACAAATTACTTCCAACAATACTGAAAAACCAAATATTGTTTCTCTCTCCCTCTCATTTTGTTTCAACAACAAGGTACAAATTGTGACATATTTGCATATTTAAGACACATCTAAGTTGAAAGTTCCCAAATGGAGAATGTGACTATTGGTATATGTCAAGGTGAGGGATATAATTTGGCAGATGTCTCGAAAAAAATCAATTATTTGCCCCATTTTCACTTTCTTTGAATGTCTGCGTATCTTTTGTAAATCACCTGTAGGAATGATGCATGATCAGCTGTTTTTCTGTGCTCGGAATATGTGGTCTCAGCATGCTCCTAAGATTTTCTGTGCCAGCCAATAAATACTTAGGATGGGACCAAGCAATTGTTGAACCAGCTCATCACCCCAAACGGCAATGCTACAAGCTGTGGTAGTAGCCAGAGACACAGGTGCAAATGTATACCTGCAAATAGGTCTAGAGTAACATTCATGATATGAGAAAAAAATGGGAAGTTTCACCTATGTTGTTCATGCTTATTATTGGGGGTTGTTAGGAGTGAACAAAAGCATGTTACTATTTGCGATGGGTGGCGTAAACCAAGCTTATACAGTTCACCTCTGTCTACTAAACCTATGAATCTACATCAGCATTGGTCCAATGTAAGATGGGTGTTTTGCATACATGTCATAGTGCAATTCTCGCTTGTGACACTGAAAAAGTATTGCTGACTAATGAGCAGTGCACAGCAAGAGTATTTATTAACAGGTAATAAAGGATAGGAGGTCCTCTATTCTCTCCACTCTTCTTTATACTGGCAATATATCTATGTGGGAGGTAGGGATAATATAGGAACAGCAGCAGCACCAGCTGATTTACGTCACTGAAGTACAAGAAGTTTACAGTACTTGGCTTTCTAACTCGTATTCCTCCTTCCCAACTGAGAATATGTGCTGCATCACTTGCAGAGCTCAGCAAGGCTGAGATGCAGGACTTGTTTGGAATGCCCCATGTCAAGCCTCAAATACGGTAAGTTGTGATGAAGACAAAGGGTGTTTTGACCTGTTTGCAGAGTGCCTTTCTTATCCTACCAAGAAGCTACATAGAGCCTCACCACCATCACACACACATCTGGGAATAGAGGGACTGGATTCCTAACAAGCCTCAGTCTCAGGATTATTATTATTTTAAAAGAAAGAAAATGAATTAACTACCAATCACTTGCCACTGAAGTTCCACACGAGAAGGAAAAGATGCATTCGGAATGAATGACGCTCTCTTTCACGCAGTGCTATTTCTGCTTAACAAAACATGTCATTTCATAAGGGACAAACTCAATGCTACATGCAGGTGTAAGTTCCTCCTAACATTATAATTTTTTTTCTTTAAAGAAAAGAAGCCTCAAGAGGCAGCCATCAGAACAGAAATGGCGGGTGGAGAAGAGGTCCTTCACTTTTCCCCTGTGGGACATGTTTCTGCTTGATAACCACAGTTGCTTTCCTCCATACTGGGGTGATTGTGGAATGAAGGTTTGGAAATAGCACAACTTGGCTATTCTTTTTGCATGGTCATGAAACTGTGGGATGCCTGAAACTGACGCAGCAATTGATTGGGACTTAAGGACATCTTGTCTGCTCACGACAAAGGTAGTGCAAAACATGACTGCTTTTGAGCGGAACAGTCCACTCCTGTTACTCACTAAGAGTTGCTGGGTCAGACCTGCACGCTCATCACTTTCTGATTGCAACACGAGACTAAGTAAAGATCCCAACTCAAATGCAATACTTTTCACTGCAGATGGATCGCCCATTCTGCTTTGAGTTACCATAATGATGCATGACCAAGACTGTCATCCTATACCCGTTTACCTGGGAGTAATCTCCACTGAAGACTGTGCTGCAAGTGATGTAAATGCATATATAAATCAGGCCTCGGGTTCCATCAACTCATCTTTGCAATGAGCTTAGAACTGGTGTGCTGCTGTTCCTGTCCTCCATTATTTTTGTCTAAGCTGGAAGAGATATTCCACACTTGCATGCCAAATCACATTTCTGAGGTAACGTAACCTTCCTTGGGTTTAAAAGACAGTTACGCTTGGGATAGCAGCTCCCCTTTTAGGTAACTCCGTACTGGATTTTTATATTTACTTCCACTTCACTTTGAAGCATGGGAGTCTGAAGGAATTTTTCCAGGGTGGCGGTGGCAATGGAAAAGCATATGAAATGCGGAGCAGGCTAGTTTCTCACAAAAAAAGAGAACAGTGCCTGTTCATTTTGCCTCCTATCTCAGGTCCTAAAAACTTAATCTTTTAAAAATACCCCCAAAAGCTGAGGATCAGGATATTATGGTTCTTCAGGGGTGGGGAACTGCCTCCTTTGCCTCCTCCCACCATGGATGTCTATGCTTTGAAGGATGCTACCCTAAACTTCCTTTCTTTTTTTTCTCCAGGTTGCAAATCAGAGCAAATCTGATGAGGATGCCAATTTTGATGAATTTATGGAATGAAGGCCAAGCTGAGCCAGATCATGTTGTGATCAATATTTGCAGAAAGCCACAAGTTACGCAAGACATAAATAAAGTAAGAAGAGGGCCTCAAATGTGTAGATCAGTAGGATGGAGCTGATCAGTATATACAATGGATCAGAAAACTGATGGCAGATGGATTAGAATTATATGGGCTGCTATAGGAAGGGGGGGAAATCTAATCTTTTGCAGATTAGCCTTCAACAGCTGACTGATTCTGTAAAATGTATGCAGATTAAAAGAAAAACCAAAAGGAGAAAAAAATAGTTACTTAAATGTGCAACTGCACAAATATAATTCCCCCACTATTAAGATAACAAAAAACTTCTGCTATTACCATAATTATTATATATATTAGAAAGCTATACACAAGCATGTTAATTTCACAGATTTTTTTTTAAAAGATTCTTAATATTTTATATAATTAGAAATACACATTTCAAAAACAAAACTTCTGCAAAGAGAAAACAGTTATCTTGGTTAGCAAAGCATGGAGTTCTTCATGGCTTAGGGTAGTGCTTTCTATACAAAAACAAAAAGTCCCCTTTTGTTTCTTTCAGGGATGTTTAAAATATTGGCGAAGCTATGAAGGGGAAAAAACACATTTTGGCTTAGTAGACTACAAAAAGCCACAATGCTTTGCGAACTCTGTCTTACTTTTTAATATGAAAATAAGGAAAATGTAATTTACATATTTTTATATTTTTATTTAATAAGTGATGCAGACCCAGAATTTTAAAAATTAAATAGGTTAGCCCTCAAACTAATTTTTTTTTTTTTACAAGTATGGTCCTCTTTTAAATGCCATACTCCAATAATACACCAACATATTTGTGTGCATTTCAGATATATTAGGTGACCATCCTTTTTCTTTTTTTACTTGGTCACCCAATTTCTGGGTCTCCCAAAACGTCTGTACATTTTCTATATGTTGCATAACAGCTGCTTTCTCTCTCAGTAAAGATCTGCCACTGTTGGGCAAAAAAAGTTTCCTTTTTTTCCTCTTTTTTCCACCTATTTACATGTAAATAACGTTGAACCTGCAACATGACACTATCTATTGTAACATACATTTTGCAAAGGAGCACAACAGTGAAAAGAAGTTAACCTTAAAACCTATTTTGTACAAGTGTTCTGTTGTACAACTCAAGTGCGAAGCTTATCTCAGCATTGCTGTTTATCTTTAATATGGTATCACTGAGGCAATTTAAAAGTACTTTTACAAAACAGAGTACCTGACTTTTCCCCCCCGCCCCCACACGCACAGCACATATAATGCATATTGACCCCCTCCCGCCCGCCCTCTTCCCCATTAAGGTATAGCACACACACACGCACACACACACTGCAAGGAAAAAAAAACCCCTAATAGCTAATAATGTTATCATGTTGCCCATCCTTCAGACAGCCTCATGCGTTTGACAGAGGGGCTTTCCCTTTCGTCCGGCGAAGGTCTGGTGAGTCCAATGGGAGAGTGGAATTCGTTCCGGTGATCCTCTCTATCGCTTCCGTCATACGAACTACTGCAACTGCTCAAGCTGTCAACAGGGGATCTTCCCGCCTCGTGACGCGTGTGCTGTGGGTATCTCGAAGGTGTGGTGGTACGGTCTCTAGGAGGAGAAACAGGTTCTGACTTGATGTTGAGGCTTTGAGTAGAAGGCAGGGAGAGATTTGCATTCTGAGATAAATGAGTGCTAGTGCAAGCTCTGTAGGAGGAAAGGAAACCCAGTTACAGACTGAGGAGGCAGAGCCCCCCGGAAATGCACACGTAACACAAAACAACAGCTCAAAGACTCGAGGTCGAGACTGGGGCATGCCAGGAAGTGAGGAGGGCAAGGGGTGATATTATTTACAGAGGCAGAAGTGGCCCCATTGCAGGGGTGGAGCCATAACCCTACTCCCTGGCAGCGGTGGGGAGGTCAAGGCTGTGTGGGCTCGCTTGTGGGAATGTGGGACTGGTGTCACTGGTGCGCCCGCACAGCTCTAGCCTCCCTCAAGCCCTTCTCAGGAAGTGGCAGCAGGGCTGCTGCCAGGAAGCTAGTGTTGCGGCTCTGCCCTGCCGGGCGGTTTGACCTCATGAACGCCTCGTTGCCTGTCGGAACTGCAAATCACTGTGGCCGTTTTGGGAAGAGGTTCGAGCCAGGATGCGGCAAATTAAGAAAGGTCAAAACTCAGACCACACTTTCCAGGAACAGCGAGAGGGATCCACACTCTGTACTCTCTAGTGCACTCAAAAGATTAACCTGGATGTGGGAGGGGGAGATTTAAATCCTTGCTCAAGAAAGTTCTCGGAAAATTCTCTGGTGGTTCAGATGTAATGCTAAACTATGGTTTAATGTTTACATGAATGAGCATTGGTGAGCCTTGGACTCATGGGCTCTTTCCCGCCTCTCCTCCTCCAGCTTGTTGTATTTCAATAAATCACAGTTTAAAGTAATCAGAACTTGGCGCAGAGGTGAGGCAGAAGCATGCAAGCCCAGGCCTTGTTCATAAACGATGGTTTAGCATTACTTTTAAACTGGGTTATTATCTTGGGTTCTTCCAACATTTTAAAAGTAATTTCTCCCTTTCTATGATGACAGCCCTATCCCCAAGTCAATAACCATACAAATGGAAAGGGGGTGGGGTGGGCTATGGAGGGAAAGGTTTGCTATTTTTAAACAAAATTAAAAATACAGCAGATGTAGACTATAAGTGGTGGAAAGAGGGTCTGTGTGCTCAGTGAAAAATGGTGCCTAGGAAAATAACATCTACATCTCTCTATGCCTATATCCATATAGCTACTTTAAAAAATGTGTGTGTGTGTGTGTGTGTGTGTGTGTGTGTACTGATGAACGCACGTACACACACGCACCCTTCCCCCACAAAAAAGCTGTAAAACTACTGTGTTCCAGTGGTGTCACGGGCAACAGCCAACATGCTCCACAACAGTAATTACATTTGTGGAATTACTCTTTGCCTGCCTCTTCAGAGGAGGGATCAGGCTGTCCTGATTTCAGCTTGAAGTGCACTGAAAACCAGTATGACAAAACCAATTTGATGAGACTTTGCTATGGGATGGGGCTGTGTGTGTGTGTGTGTGGAGAAACGTATGTCGATACTGCTGTCAGCAATGGCACTATTCTGTCACACCCACTGCTCTACTTCTGAATAAAACCTCAAACCTGACAAACCTTATAGAAGTGTCGTGAGAGTAAATGAAAGATAAGAATTCAAAAGCACTCGTTTCAATTAAAGAGACTCGTTCAGGTTGGCAGTTGCAGAATGCGCAGGGCCACCCCGAGAGCTGTTTGCTCTTTGAATATCTCCCGGAGTAGGTGCATGAGTTCAATGGGAAGTATAAATTAAATGTTGACGGTAGGAAACAGTCTGATACGATAGCTGTGTGAAATGTCTAAATTAAAGTGAGATTTAATGCCTGCACTACGGAGTTTCTTGCATCTAAAGGCGAAGACTGTTCAGATGCCCTCCAACATGTTCAAGGAACCTGTGAGATGGGGGAGCAGGACTACATCTTTAAGCCACAACTCCAACAATGTTGACTATGCCCCTCCCCACTTAATCACACATGCCCCTCCCCTTTCCCAGTAACCCTGAGTGCAGTTGGCTAGAGCACAGTTAGTGGGTGCTATACAATTCTGCCCCTTAAAGGTTCAGTGGTTGTTGTAAGTGTTTATCTGAACAGCTCTGGAGACACCGACCATTTACGCTGGCCAATTACGAGTGAAATCACGCTCCGGAACCATGCATCAAACTGAACTTTCAGCTTGCTCCTACTTAAATTTGATGTGGGCTTGATGTGCTTTGCACATGGTGGCCCTGTGTCAACCTTTCTGAGCATAGATTTGGTTGCTCCTTTGAAGTGAAGTGAAAAGTTATCTGCAGGGGAGACTCCACTTGCGCATGAATATTTGCACCCGGCTCTGGCAATCTTAGTGGGACACCCTCCCGAGCCAAGAACTGGAGGATTGTAGCCAATATCTATCAAAATTTCTGCAAAAACGCAAAAATAATGCTTTATCTCATGTGAACACATTTGTACTTGGAATGATGTGGCGGTGGTTTTCTCACTAATTGTCACAATGTTTAATAATGAATGGCTATTGTTAGGCAACAAAGAGAGAACCGAACGCTGCATGGGTAATTGCTTTCATCTGCCCAGCATTCAGCAGATTTTTGTCAAAATTGGTGCCGTTATCTTCCCAAACAGAAAGGACAAGTGTGTTGGCCCTACAGTTGCGATTGTGTGAGGAGCAAACGGAAGTGCAGCATTTCCTCTGACAGGCATTGTTTGGGGCTCCTGAA